TTACGTTTTTTCAAGTTTTCGGGCGAAAAATCAAGTTTCTCCAATCTTCTCAAAACTCTGGATTATGATAGAGGGCCGCGAGACTTTGACCTGAGCGCAAAAATGGAGGCTCTAGACCCTTCCAGAGCTGAGATATCGAAACTCAAAATTTCGACCCGAAAAAAAAAACGACAGTGTTACCCCTTACGTTTTTTTCAGTTTCCGGGCGAAAAAAAATCAAGTTTCTCCAATCTTCTCAAAACTCTGGATTATGATAGAGGTGCGAGACTTTGACCTGAGCGCAAAAATGGAGGCTCTAGACCCTTCCAGAGCTGAGATATGGAAACTCAAATTTCGACCCGAAAAAAAAACGACAGTGTTACCCCTTACGTTTTTTTCAGTTTTCGGCGAAAAATCAAGTTTCTCCAATCTTCTCAAAACTCTGGATTATGATAAAGGGCGCGAGACTTTGACCTGAGCGCAAAAATGGAGGCTCTAGACCCTTCCAGAGCTGAGATATCGAAACTCAAAATTTCGACCCGAAAAAAAAACGAAAGTGTTACCCCTTACCTTTTTTTCAGTTTTCGGGCGAAAAAATCAAGTTTCTCCAATCTTCTCAAAACTCTGGATTATGATAAAGGGCCGCGAGACTTTGACCTGAGCGCAAAAAATGGAGGCTCTAGACCCTTCCAGAGCTGAGATATCGAAACTCAAAATTTCGACCCGAAAAAAAAACGAAAGTGTTACCCCTACCTTTTTTTTCAGTTTTCGGGCGAAAAATCAAGTTTCTCCAATCTTCTCAAAACTCTGGATTATGATAGAGGGCCGCGAGACATTGACCTGAGCGCAAAAATGGAGGCTCTAGACCCTTCCAGAGCTGAGATATCGAAACTCAAAATTTCGACCCGAAAAAAAAAAACGACAGTGTTACCCCTTACGTTTTTTTCAGTTTTCGGGCGAAAAATCAAGTTTCTCCAATCTTCTCAAAACTCTGGATTATGATAGAGGGCCGCGAGACTTTGACCTGAGCGCAAAAATTGAGGCTCTAGACCCTTCCAGAGCTGAGATATCGAAACTCAAAATTTAGACGAAAAAAAAAACGACAGTGTTTACCCTTACGTTTTTTCAGTTTTCGGGCGAAAAATCAAGTTTCTCCAATCTTCTCAAAACTCTGGATTATGATAGAGGGGCCGCGAGACTTTGACCTGAGCGCAAAAATTGAGGCTCTAGACCCTTCCAGAGCTGAGATATCGAAACTCAAAATTTCGACCCGAAAAAAAAACGACAGTGTTACCCTTACGTTTTTTTCAGTTTTCGGGCGAAAAATCAAGTTTCTCCAATCTTCTCAAAACTCTGGATTATGATAGAGGGCCGCGAGACTTTGACCTGAGCGCAAAAATGGAGGCTCTAGACCCTTCCAGAGCTGAGATATCGAAACTCAAAAATTTCGACCCGAAAAAAAAACGACAGTGTTACCCCTTACGTTTTTTTTCAGTTTTCGGGCGAAAAAAATCAGTTTCTCCAATCTTCTCAAAACTCTGGATTATGATAGAGGGCCGCGAGACTTTGACCTGAGCGCAAAAAATGGAGGCTCTAAGACCCTTCCAGAGCTGAGATATCGAAACTCAAAATTTCGACCCGAAAAAAAAACGACAGTGTTACCCCTTACGTTTTTTTTCAGTTTTCCGGGCGAAAAATCAAGTTTCTCCAATCTTCTTCAAAACTCTGGATTATGATGGGGCCGCGAGACTTTGACCTGAGCGCAAAAATGGAGGCTCTAGACCCTTCCAGAGCTGAGATATCGAAACTCAAAATTTCGACCCGAAAAAAAAACGACAGTGTTACCCCTTTCGTTTTTTTTTTTTTGTTTGTTTTCGGGCTAAAAAATAAGTTTCTCCAATCTTCTCAAAACTCTGGATTCTGATAGAGGGCCGTGAGACTTTGACAGTGTTACCCCTTTCGTTTTTTTTTTTTCGGGGTGAGAAATTAAGTTTCTGCAATCTTCTCAAAACTCTGGATTCTGATAGAGGGCCGCGAGACTTAGACCTGAGTGCAAAAATGGAGGCTCTAGACCCTTCCAGAGCTGAGATATTGAGATCCACGCACGCATTATAGCCATTATAAATATCTCAATATCTCAGCTCTGGAAGGGTCCAGAGCCTCTATTTTTGCACTCAGGTCTAAGTCCCATGGCCCTCAATCAGAATCCAGAGTATCAAGAATATCAGAGAAACTCAAAATTTCGACCCGAAAAAAAAAAAAAACCACTCGTACCCCTTTCGTTTTTTTTTTTCGGGGCGAGAAATTAAGTTTCTCCAATCTTCTCAAAACTCTGGATTATGATAGAGGGCCATGAGACTTAGACCTGAGTGCAAAAATGGAGTCTCTAGACCCTTCCTGAGCTGAGATATTGAGATCCCACGTAGCATTTATGCCATTATAAATACCTCTAGCTTGGACTAGCTAGAGTTACTGGAAATCGAAATACAGTGACTTGCTGGCAACCGTCCTGCTGCCAGCACTGTAAAAATACAAGAAAACACAGGATGCACAAAGGAAATGACTCTAACATGAATGCATTGATTGATTCCTAGGTTTATTTTGTTACGAATAAACAAATGTGCAATATAAAGGAAAAACCTTACGATTAAAGTTATAATGTTCAAGTTTTTGTTCTAAAAAAAGAAAGATGCACACAGAAAATGACTCTAATATGACCAGATTGATTGATTCAAATTTATTTAGTTTGTTACAAACAATATGCAATCTGTAAAACAAAAACCTCAAAATTATAGTTGAAATGGTATACTGCTGGAATTTTTTTGACCTTGCGAAAAAGCTTAAAGTATAGACCAACAAATTTTATGTTTATTCATTTATTTCATGTTGGTACATTTTTGGGAAGTACACCTGTTTTGACCTGATGTCCATTGGAATGGACAAAAAAAAAATCACAATGAAAGCAATTATATTAAAACAATTCATTTGTTTTCATTTATAGAAACCTCATGAGCTGGGAAAATGTACTTTTATATTTTTCAAAAACTTGAAACATAATTCAGGTCTGAGGGGGTTAAATGCAGTATAAATGTATCATTCAGAAGATCATTACTGGTTTCTAAGCTACCTGTTTTTAAAACACAACCATGTATCTTGATGTTCACCTAATTATAACCATCACCACTTTTTGCAAAACTTGAACAGTCCCTTGTGCTTTTATATAATAGGTATAATCTCTGAAAACAATTGTGCTTCTTAAGTAAGTTTAATTGATGTTTGGTTAATTAATAGTTTTTGCAGTGTTTTCTTGAAACAGCAAATCAAGACTGGTAAAATGACAACAGCATGATGCAATCATTGTCAAATGTAGTAATAATGTTCATCTGGATGGTTTTACAGGAAAATATATGGCCGGCTGTTCTTTGTGAGAGGTGATGGAGCTGCTCCGGTGCCGCCGAGCACAACGTTTGCACTTTTTAAACCTACCTGGGCTGGTGGAACTGTCCATGTGCTAATAGCCTGAACAGAAGAGATCACATTGTATATAGAGTGTAATGTGTGGGAAATAGATAATACCCATGATGCATTGCTCTAGAATGTGTATGCACTGGGATTAGGGACCACAACCAGCTTCTACACTTTTATCTGTATAGAATTGTTTGTTCAAACCACATTTATTTCATTTTGAAGAACTGGATGTACATTTCCTTTCATTTTTAGTGCAAATTTCTGAACGAGTAAGTATGAATATGTATAATGGATATAAAAATTCTGACATTTATCCAAATTGTCTCATGTTGAGTATTCAAGAAAGATTTACTTAAAAAAAAAGTCTATTTGTGTGATTATTATTTTACTCTAAAGGTTTAGGATTCATGTCGTTCCAAAACCGTAAGACTTTCGTTTATCTTCGGAACACAAATGAAGATCTTTTTATTGAAATCTGAGCAATTTCTGTCCCTCTAAAGGCAGTCCACGCCACTACCAAAAATAATCCATATGAATATGATATGAACAGATGTATGGATATGGATTTAGGGATAGTTAGGAACTATCCCATTAAAAAGCAAGGAGTTAGTCCGAGACAAAAGTGATTTACACAAATTTATTACACTTTTTACCAGTACAAAATACAGTCGAACTAAGCAGTTGAGGCTAAATAAAGATATTTTAAAGACACAAAAATAAGGTATCAATATAGTAGTGAGAAGAATTGCAGCTACCTCCATAAAAATAATCCTTAGCCAGAAGCTTTAAAACAGCATTACAAAAAAAAAAAGAAAAGAAAAATCTTTCCCAAAAGCACACAACAGGCAAAGAACCATGACAGGCGTTAAAGTACAGAGCCTGACACTCACAACCAACCACAGTGAGAATACATCCGCCAATCACTTCTCAGAAACAAACACAGAACAGCTAGTAGAAATAAAGTTTATCTTTGTAAATAGCAGAGAGGGACGTGTAGGGTGCCCGTTACGGGCCGCTACCAGGCACCGGTAAAGATCCCAACCGGGTTCTTCAAAAACAAATGATGTCTCCTGAAACCGATAGATCTCCTGAAAAGGTTTCCAGCTTTACTTCAGCTAAGTGGGCACGTTGTTTTTATTAAAAGCGTGAAAACTAAAACATCAGATGTACAGCACCAGGTAATGAGGCATATTTGCAAGAATCTGCATATTCTGTTACTAGACGTGTCTATTTTTGGGTTTTCTACGTCTTCTAGAAAAGGCTTTTCTGAGAAATTTTTAGCTATTACGTAGCGTTTACGTTTTTTTGCTATTACATATACACAATATCTACTTAAATATATGATGCAAAAAAACATTTTTTTGATCTTGATTAAAAAATAATAATTTTTAATAAAAATAACACAAAACTAGTCATAACCTGGTGAGTGCAGACTCACTTCCAGTTACTTCAGAAGGCCTTGTGTACAGATGCACGCTCACAGGTACGTTCAATATATCGACAAATCACCGAGGCTCTTTTTAACCACTGCAAACAACTAAGAACTCCTCAAATAACTACAAAACTAGACCAAAAAGGTGAAAACTGCTTTGCTTGGGTTTAAGACCAGAGCAGTAACCATCAACACAGTAGGCGTATGTACATCCTGAAGCTTTCGAACGAGAATGGGGTACTTTCAGGGCAACCGATTGGAGCAAACAGTCGAATAATCTCATAGTGATTTTTATAAAAACGTATTAAAAGTTAGACTCATTAACTCATTAGAACTAAAAACTGTTGAGGTATAGACTAGGCATCTCATATGGCCAGGGGTTTATCTACAAAACGTCTGGAATGGAGCGGTCTCCATTCGTTTCGTCGTGGAAAGGCTTTGCATGTGCAGCGGGTTTGGGTGGGCGCTGCGATGCAGCTTTGGGGTCAGCAGGTTGCATCTACGCCTGAGGAACCGCGAGGAAACGGCCGAGGCAGAAAGTCTAAAAAAAAATGTGACCATCTTTTAAAGGTGCTTTAGACACATCTGAGGTTCTGAGACGATACATTCATTCTGCGGTTAGAGGCACGGCCGAGGAAACGACAGAACGAGAGAAGGTCAAAGAGAAAGAGAGAGATAGTTCTGCTCTAGTGTTTCTTTCCTCATCTAAGGCACTGAAAGAAGACTATGGCACATGAAAAAAACACATCACAAAACCAGCACGTTCTTGTTTCACAGTCGGAGAAAACCTAAAGGCGAGAGAGAGAGAGAGACACACACCGACCCTAAACAGACCTACGTACCCTCAAGATAAAGAAAAAGCTCACGGCCGAGTGTTAGAGCCGTAAGATTGTGGTCTGGGGTGAGCCTGACGCCCTGCTCTTAGATCTCCTGCAGGGAGTGACTGCTCTCGATTCTCTCTCTCTTCACCGCCGGCTCGCTCATACTCCTCTCGCTCATCCTCGACATGTCTCCATCGCTGGCCATGTCGTCTGAGAATGAGGCATCTGGGAAAGGAAAAGAGAAGGATGTTGGAATACAGAGCAGAGGAACTTTCGAAATGAGAAAAAAAAAAATCTTTTAAGGGTTGGTATCAAAATCCATTACCTTTCTCCATGAGTGATGGCATCATTGAACTGAGGTCACTGAACTGAAAATACACAAAAAAAAATATAATTTTAAATACATTTTCAAATGGATTTGCATATTGTGTTACATTTTAAAACCTATAAATAACATTGATCTAAACAAAATTTAAATAAGGTTAAACAAATTAAATATTATGTGAAAAGTATTTGCTTAAATTCTTTACATTTAGTCATTTCCACCACAACCAAATGTACAATTTACCAAATGTTAGCGTAATAAACAAGTGAGAAAATGACCAGAATATTTTTATGAATTATATCTCAATCTACATATTTTATTATATAAATAAAATTAGTATTCATATTAATGTGTAGACAGTATTATATCAGTATTATTAGTATTAATGTGAATGTACAGACAGAATTATGCAATCCATAAAATTATTAATATGAATGTGCAGACAGACAGATAGATTTGTTATAAATATGTAGTTCTGTGCATTTTCTTTAAAATCAAATGCTAGCTAGGAAATTAGCCTTAGAAAAACAAAGAACCACCCCCCCCCCCCGCCCCCCCCCCAAAAAAAAAAAAAAAACTCAACCGTATCCCTCAAAAAGCCACAGAATACTATTAAACACAATACATCGTTTGAATTGTGATGGAATGGTGGTTTTAGAAAAATAACAAAACTCTGATGGCACGCATACATGCTCTTGGACGTTGTTATTTAAATAAACTCCCTGAATACACACTTTTCACTCCTTCAGTAGTTTATTTTCTTAGTCAACAGGGCCAAAAGAAACGCCTGCATGTGCTCAACGCTCAATACAAGCTGTTAGATTAATGCACGAAAGTCTGAAATATTAAACTACGGAGCAGCCAGATCTCCTCACCTCCCCCATGACAGCAATGGGCGTCTCTCCGGTTGCATGGGCGACACGGTGTTCTACCAAATAGAACATGTATTCATCATAGAGCAGACGGATGAGGTGGAAGGAGCCAAAGCTTGCGGCCGAGCGCAGAGTCAGATCTCGGATCACCATGGAGCTGTAACCAGGGCAACAGAGAGTTTCATTACAAACTACCACAACAAAACCACAACACCCGCCACAGATTAAAGTGCTGCTTTCAATCTACTCTCTTCAGAAGATCAGTTGTTGTAAAGCTGTGTCTGTTAAGAGGCCACATCAAATGGAAGTCAGAGCTGCAAACTCATTTGTCATTTGGGGCATCGTCGCCCACGAGACAATTTTTATGATTTTGACATGTAAATGAAGCATTTTGACAAGAAACATTTTGCTTAAAGTACAAAAAACAAACTTTAAAAAACATTTATTGACACAATTTGATTCAATAATGATTAAGTTGGGACCTATCAGGTACAGTACATAGCAAATTTCTTTAAAATATCGCTCAACTAATGCTGTAAACCATAAGGAACCATAAGGAATAAAACATTAAAGATTAAAAATTATTTCTTTGTAGGTTACTTACATTTAAATCACACATAAGGAAGGTTTTGTAATAACGTTATAATACATTAATGACAATTATGTATATAACATTTAAACGGTGACTGTCATAAGTAAATATTATTTATTCTGAAACAATATTCTCATCAGCTTTTACATAGTACTTAAATCTGCATATTTGTGAATTTTACCCCAGGGTGTTATTTATCTTTATAAAAGACAAATTTTTAAACCTTACTAAATATATGCATTATCTTTCATGTCAAATTCAGTTTTAATAATAATGAATCCAATTGAATAATTTACACTGCAAAAGTACATCTAAATAAATAATTTAAAATCATTTTATGAGTTTAAACAAATGCAAAAAAAATAAAAAATAGATGATACTTTTAAACATGAAACTAAACCGCCAATAGGCGGCGCCAAATGACCCGTCTTAATAAATTAATCATTGAGTTATATACAATTTTTATTGTATATCCAATTTCACCCCTCAAACCGAAAAAAACCTCATCGGATCTACACGATTCAAATAAATTACATATTTTGTTTCAAAACAAGCGACTAGTTTTACAGGCATGGGAAGTGAAATAAATGTAATTGAGAAGAGAGCCCATCGGTGGTTTTTAAAGGGAGCCGTGTACCTGTAAAAAGACCACTTGAGCAGGAACTGGCGCGCGGCACGAGGGAAGCTGGGACTGCCGTCGTAGGGTTTCAGCACCTGGTTGACCACATTATCCAGCCAGGCGGCCCACTGATCCAGAGAGCTCTGCTGCTGCAGGGTCACCTTAAAGTCTTGCTCCAAACGCTGGACCACACTCTCATCACACTGGCACACCCAGGACGCCTGCTCCTGTGACAAACACACACACACACGCTCAGAGTGAGCAGAGAACGCACTCACTCCTCCTCCGTGAACCTGAAGTGTTTCTGATGTTCCAGCAGAAGACAGACCTGCACGTTAGCGAAGTCCACTCTGTTGAGGTCGCTGAGCATCTGGTTGATCTGCGAGGTGTTCTGCAGGACGGCTCGAGCCGCCTGAGCCAGATGATTCAGAGAGGTGTAACGGCGCAGGGTCTGCGCAAACGCACTCACGACTGCAGCCTGCGCAGACGACAAAACCTTGTGAGCGTCAATGCAAAAATACCTAGACCTCACATCCTGTAAGGTCAGTCACCAAGGTTACAAAATTCACTTCTAAAGCACCATAAAAATAGGCATCATAGGCACAAGCACATGTAGACACAACCCTTCAAATAGATTTTCCTTTGTAATTAATAAAAGAAAGAAAGCTTTTTGTAGTTTTTGAGTATCATTATTATAGAATAGCATTTTCTCAAAAATTCTTTTAGAATATCCTACATTAATAATATACATTGTAAATTAATGTTTTAAAAATTAAATTATATATTTTTTTGATTGTTTTCAGAATCTCTCTTCTTCATGGAGTTTTGCCTGTTTTAGCCAGCTTCTGAGAACATTTGCAGCAAATTTCTCCTTTAAGTTAAGGTCAGAAACATACACACACACATACCTTAGTGCGGACAATCTCCTGTGGGAAGTCAGTCATGGCTGAGGTCAGCCACCCCTCTAGACTCTTAGCGAAGTTTCTGATAGCTTGAGTGAGTGTGCCTGCAGGATCACATTTCCCATCAGTCATGCACTTAAACTTTCAGCCCACAATACAGCAGCAACACTGACCCTGGAACAGGTCACAGTAAGTGTGTGAAGAAGTAGAAATACTAACTGGGAACAGGCCGCAGTACATCAGGGATGAGAATCTCCACCAGTGCCTGATACAGGATGTGATCACAGCTCCTCATCCACTGTTTGATTGGTTCATATTTACACAGAGCGATCAGCTTCTCTCTGGGGAATCCTGGGATATCCTCCACATCCTCTTCACTGCACAATATACCAATACATGTCAATTCAGACAGAAATCCCTTTGTTTAAAACAGCAAAACTAGCAAGTAAAAAAATCTGTCGTTGTCTCTTTTAAAATAATAGATGATTGTACAAAACTGTATTAATGTTTCACTCAGAGAGCGCAATACCTACACTACAGGTCAAAATCTGGGGTCAGTAAGATCTTCTTTTTATAAAGAAAATAATACTTTTGCTCAGCTAAGGACACTTAAATTGATCAAAAGTAAAGACATTTTGTTACAAAATACACCTTTCCACAAAAATATTAAGCAACAAAACTCTTTTAAATTTAATAAATAATAAATGTTTTTTGAGCAGCAAATCAGCATAGAATTATTTCTGAAGCATCATGTGACACTGAAGACTGGAGTGATGATGTTGAAAATTCAGCTTTACCATCACAGGAATAAATTACATTTTAAAATACACTAAAATACAAAAATACAAGTTTAAATTGTACTAATATTTCACATTACTGTTTGTTTTCACTGTATTTTTATCGAATAAATGCAGCCTTGATAGCACAAGCGACTTCTATCAAATCAAAAAGACAAAATCTTAAACTTTCGAACGGATGAATAATAATACACAGACAATACTAATGTCACTACTACAGGAATGTCCTTGACTGTCTTTGATGACTTTTCCAAACACTTCTAAGTTTTCTGTGACTGTATGAACTGGTTTATAGGATAAAGCACCTGTTAATGGTAGTGGCTCCGTCACTAGATGGCGCTGTTGAATACCAAAAGGTCTGCCATAGCTTCTCTATGAGGTGGAACTGCAAGTTCATCACTACGTCCAGAGTCGCCTGACAGAGAGAAATCAGGGTTATAAGCAATGTTTAAACAAGCTCCCATTAATTAACACACTCAAACAGCAAAACGGTTTCCTGCTGATATTTCAAACACAAGACTGACTTATGACCAGTTGAACAACTTGCAAAACAAATGATTTTGGAACAAATACACTGATGTGTGCTCCAATGCGAGTTATGATATAATTTGTGAGATGAGTGTGCTCTATTCTGAGCGCATGTCTTTCCTGTTTGGCATATCAGACGACAAGATCATCTGAAGTGTGACCCACTCACGACATCGCCGTCCATCTCGCAGTTTAAATTATGAAAACAGCCTCTTGAGAAATCTACCTTCTTATAAACAGTTTAACTTTCAACTACATCTTATATTCTGTTTTATGTCCAAAAAAAAAAAAGGAACTTGTTGGTGTAGTGGGGATGGTATTTCAGTGAACTGTGACATGCAGCAGAAGTGAGAGTGTGGTGAGTTTGCTGTGTTTGTCTCAGAGTGATTCACACTCGGCTCTCAGATTCTCCTCGATGAGGACACACTCTTGTATCCAGTTACACACACCCCCCTCCCTTTTCCTCCCTCCCTTACCGGTCACATGCTATGTTTTGGCTTCCATAGCCAGGTCACCATGGCAACCTTGTTTACCGTTGCCCCGGCAACAGTTTAAACACAGCACTCCAAAACAAAAAAAGAGAAATTCTCTTTCCTGGACAAACAAGCTTTCGTATCTTAGTCTAAAGAGAGGAAAAGTACTATAGTCTTCCTTCTAGAAGACAAGTCGATGATTTTTTAAGGGTACTACACTTGTGTGAAGAAATATCTGTTTTATAAATTCACATCCTATTTCAGGCAGCACTAAAAGTGCAGAGTTCTGACTTCCTGAAGTGCATCAGCACTCTACAACCTACTTACGAGTTCGAAGGACATCATTTAACACGTTCAAGGTATTTTGGTCAAATGAAAATGGATATGTTGGGCAATTTCTTATCTTTCTCTCTTGTTCACTGCCTGAAAAGCACTGGAAACTTTAGCGCTAGTGCAAAAAAATGAAGAGTGACAGGACATTTTGGTTTCTATGTTTAACCCCTGTCCACTGTGAAATCAATTAATTTAATTAATCGCAACATAAAATTTTGTAAATATATTACATACATATCATTATATATATATATACACACACACACATATATATACATATATATATATTAGGGATGTCAATTTTCACAAATTCCCATGATCGATCGTCGTTTAAATCGGCGCACGCTGAATGAATAACCGTTGAGCACTTTGATAGCGTTTATTTTACTCAAAGAAATGCATCCTATTTGATATAAATTGGATATATACAAAATAAACATAATATTACAAAATTATTTCTGCACAAAATGACAAAAAATGCATTCTTAACCAAATGCATCCAATATGAGATAAATCAGATATAGATAGGCGTACACAAAATAAACTATTACAACTTACATTTGCACAAAACAAAACACTGCGAATGCACACGCAAACTTATAGACATGATGAAGGTGTAAAATAGTCCCAAACAACTCCGGTGCGTGTCATTCGGGGGTGTCATTCAGTGGGACTCAACACTCCACCACACCGACGCGCTCGCTTACACATGTCTCGTGGTTGAGCAGCATGCACGCACAATATCCTGCATAATCGATGAATGATAAGTTTTATCGATTAAATGTATTTTCGACAATTAATCGATCTTCGATTGATCGTTGACATCCCTAATATATATATATAAATTAGATATACATGTGTGTGTATACAAATAAGGGTTTATTGCTCCAAATCATTCGCGGTTCGGTTTTTATCACGGTTTTAGGGCCACGTTTCGGTATTTGCTATGTTAAAGGAAAAAAAAGTACTTCTGTCAAATAAAAATAAAGAAAATAAGAACAAATTTGTTGTTTGATTAACAAAAACAGACAGCAGAAGTAATATTAGGCTGATGTCACTTTAAGACACCATGCACGGATCCAATATACTGATACTATACACATGCATGCCCCTGCATGGGAGGAAATGGCCCTGATGTAGTTTGTAAATATATACTAAATGTGTAACACACACATATTATACATTTACAAACTTTTATTTTAGATGCTATTAATCATGATTAATTTATTTGACAGCACTACATCAAATATATTCTGATTGCTTGTGATTGCATGATGTTGGACAAAGCTTGTCTCTGGACCCGTTTATAACAATATTAAGAGAGAGTATGAAAGATATTCAGAACGCGAAGACATTTCCATTTGAATGGGAGAGGTCTGAGTAAACCTGTTTACTATGCTTTACCAGCAACAACTTAACTTATATTTCAGTAGTGAGGACTGAGGAGCATGCAAAGACTCACAGATGGAAAAGATCCAACTGGATGAAAGGTTGATTGGGAAGACTAAAAAACTCATAGTCTGAGGGATAAAAGAAGCCTTGGAACAAAAGGGGAGCAGTGGACGGGGAGGGACAGAAAGAGAAATGGAGAGAAAGAGCGCTTGAATATGGCAGAAATTACATTAAAAGTGAGAGCTAGGATATGAAGATGGGTCGAGTTCATCTGTCAGGATATTGAGACTGTAATGAGACCAGACACATTCTGAAAGTAAAATTCAAGAATACTTCAAACTAGAAACTCAGAAAGTAGGGAGAAGGAATACTTAGAAAAACCCATCAACAGCTCTTTCACAGTTTCTCAATGAACAAAAATTAAGTGCCGTTTATTCTTCCATTAAAACACATCGAAACTTCAAGTAAAACCTAGAGAAAGAGGGTGTTGCAATTAAAATGGTTCTACGAGGTTTACGACTTCAAATCGATTATAATATTTATTTATGTTTAAAGTACATGTCATTTTCTAATTTGATGAAGCAAAATATGGGAAGAGAAGAAATCTAATCTACTCCAAAGAACAAATCTCAACACACTCCCTTTCCAGCACACGTGAAATAGTCAATTTAGTGTTCATGAAATGAAGCAACTCCTTTTCAACCAACTTCTGGAGATAACAGACACACGGGGAACAGAAATGTTTATATTTTTAAAAGCACCACCCTATGCAAAGCACTATGCTTTTTACAACATTATCTTTATATTTGATTCGGAAAATGTTAAATTATTATTATAATTATACAACTACCATTCAAACCGTTGTATAATTGTACAAATACTGTTTTTTGTCTTTCAAAAAGGATTTATTTGTGAAAACAGTAACAATGTAAAATATTTTTGCAATTTAAAAATATATTTTAAAATATATTAAGATAAAAAAAAAAACAGTTCCTGTGATGGCAAATCTGAATTTTCAGCATCATTGCGCTAGTCTTCAATGTCACATGATCCTTCATAACCTTCATTCTAATAAGCTGATTTGGTGTTCAAGATACATTTTCTACATTTCTAACAAGTTTCTTAAATTTCTTTAGCGGAAACACAATCTTAAACTTAATATTTCTGTGAATACCAGAATACACTTTTATTCAGGATTCTTTGATTTTCTTCTTAGAAAGTTCAAAAGCACAGGATTGATTTAAAATAGAAATCTTTACATTATAAATGGCTTCACTGTCACTTTTGAATGGTAGTGTGAGTAATTACAAATTATAAATCAAATAAATAAATGATGTATCTGCAAACACTCAGGCTGTTCTGTTTTCAAAATCAATTATAAAATATCTAAATGAATGTGAAATTAAATCTGATGCAGTTAACACATTAAATTCAACAGAGACTATGTGACAAATATTCACAGATTGTGAAAGAACATTGTTCATACAAGGTCATTCTCTGAAAGATGTTGCAGGTGCTTGGTTTTCTTTTTTTTTTTAGCTGCCCGTAATAACAAGGCTCACATTCATGCAATACATTGTTGCAAGAAAACAGCCTTGGGTAGAGTAGTGTAACTATTTGCTGTGGTACATTTCATTCATTATTGTATTTCTTTAACATTCTCATTATTCCATTAATTATACATTTTTGTGTACTTGATATGTACTCATGTTCTGAATAATTCCTTTACATATTTTATACTTAACTTTATATTTATGAATTATGAAATGATTTGAAGTTCTTGTAATAAGCATATAATATCAGAATTTTAATTTCCTCTGGTATAAGGAATAGTTTATCTTTGCCAGGGTGTCTATTATTTTCTAAAGATAGCTGTTAAAAAGTTGCTTCCTTTCCACGGACCCTGTGACACTGTTTCCTCCACTGGGTGCTCTGAGAATAAAGATACTAGGAATGCACAGATAGGAAAATTTTAGCCGATATGATAATTTGAAAGCCGATGACCAATATACTGGCCGATAAATCTAGATCCGCTTTTTTGTGTAATTTTTGAGAGCCTGATTACAAAAACAAGTCTCAAGCACACAATTATAATAATGTTCTCATTATAATTTGATGTAGCCTATATGGTATTTTTTGAAGGAGATTCCAATTATATTTTCATCTGGGTGGTGATGGCGCAGTGGATAAGATACATGCATTTGGTGTGAGAGACCTGGGTTCGAATCCACTGTGAGACACCAATGTGTCTCTGAGCAAGACACTTAACCCCTAGTTGCTCCAGAGGCGTGTGACCTCTGACATATATAGCAATTGTAAGTTGCTTTGGATAAAAGCGTCAGCTAAATGAATAAATGTAGACCTTTTGCTACGTTTGCACCTCCCTTCCAGACTAAAATGGAAAAAGGAAGACCTAAAACCATTAATTCTAATACACAGATAAAATGCTGGTGTGGACGGAGATCGCATTCGTTGTAATTCTCTGTTTTTAAACGAAAACGCAGTAGTGTGGACGGGGCCTGAGGTGTCTCAGCTGAAGGAAATAAGCCATTATTTATCAGCTTTAATATATTAGGCAAATTTGTTTATTGGGTGGATAACGATAGGATTAAAAATGAAAATATCAGCCGATGCCCATATGGTGGCCGATATATCGTTCATCCCTAAAAGGATTCATTCTCTATTTGCAAATGTGCTAAATTTTGAAAAAAAAAAAAAAATGTGTAGTACCTCACAGTGAATCCTGTAGTTGCTCTGTAGATTTTTGACATCGTTGATGCTGATTGGCTCAGGCAGAGGACAAGAGCCCAGATCAGGTGAAGGGAAGGGGGGAAGGACGTGAGACACATCTGCAAAAATACACACAGTGTTACCAAGAGCGAGTGGTAAGACTTGAAGCTGGTTGTGTATGCATTCAGACGTTTTTTGAAGTGCTTGTATGTAAATGCTATTAAATTCTATTAAATGTATAAAGTAGAAAAAGCCTGTACTGGTAAAAAAAATAAAAATAAAAAAATATCGAGGTAAAATGTTTACTGCAATCCTTCCAGCGCCCTTTCCTTTCCTTCATACACTTCCGTTCCAAAGGAAGGAAAGGAAAAACTCACTTGACCGAATAAACTTGAGTAACTTTAATCTATATTTTAAGAGTACAACAAGACTATGCAGTGTTTACATTTGATTATTATTATTATTAGGCTTTACACTGTTAATACATCTTTCTGAAAAACTTAAAACAACATTTATTTAATTTGAATTTCGATTTTGTTGCATTTATTTGTTCGTTTTGTAATTCGTTTTTTTTATTGTATTGCTGACTGTTTACTTGTCTTATGTAATTATTCTGAAGACCTTTTTCTTACATCAGCAAAAACTAATACATAAGCTAATACTGATCCTAGGTTAACTAAAACCTTGTGAAATTTCACTGAGATTTAAAATGAATCATATCATGAAATAAGACTTTGTCATCAAAGCATATCGCCCACCAACAATCATATTAAATAATCTAAATAATCGTGATTATGATTTTGCCCATAATTGAGCAGCCCTAGTACTAATGTATTAAATCATGTATAAAAAGTCATGGAGGAGGTTTACCAATATACTGCTGGTGATGCTGGCTCTGAGCCGCCACGCTTTGCTCAGGGGTGCTGGACGAGTGCTGGGAGCCGCTGTTCAAACTGTCCCCCATCCCATCCATCTTGTGAAAGGGCTTAAACCTAGACACAGGAGATACCAACAGAAGGATTAAATGTTGAATTCACAACTGGGGATTACAGACGATATGACTAAGCAAGAAAGAGAAGATCATTTTCCATCAGGATGCAGAGCAGTGTCCAATCTGAAGGTGTTCTGTGCATTTCCAATGGCAAAAAATTCTGATGGTTTTGAACCGGAATCACGTCATAAGCCAGATGTCAGCATAATGTTTTAAGAAGAAAAAAAAATGATTGAATAACAGGACATTAAATTGTATTTTATTTAGAAAAATCATGCGTGAATTGATCAAGAAGAACTATTATTATAAATAATATCAATGTAAAATGTATTACCTATAAATGTCTCACAACTGCATCGATTGCAGCTAGCTGTGGCATACATGATTTTTTAATAATTTAATCAATAATTAATTCGTAATGTTTAAATAAGTTCACAAAACCCACGCTGGTTTTCTGTGTCTGAGATAAAACTTGGTCTGAGTGTCCATATATTCAGCCAGTGTGGGACATAATTAGACATGGATTTAATGAATCCAAATCTCTAGCGGGATTCTGAACAATAGAGTAAGACATGCACACAAACAGGATCTTTGTGATGGCAAAGAAGAGATGTTCATTTCACCTCTGTTTCTGATGGACAGGTTGTTGCCTCATTGCCATGTACTGCGTGTCCTCCTGCAACCGGTTGAGAGGCGAGTCAGGCTTCAGACGAATGCCATAATAATGGTATTTTGAGTTCCCCCTGCGACACACAAATGCACATAGACAAAATGAGCTATGGCTTTTCCCCCCCAGCAACAACACACCACAATTTGAGACTGAACGTCATTTATTTCAGACCATCATCTCATGATCATTCTTTAGGTATTAGATGAGTGTCTGCAGAAAATCCACTCAGCAAATGTTCGTCTCTGTGCTGCTGTGGTTCGAGACTGGATTGTGCTTTTCTTTTGAGAGTGGATAAGCTGTAAAAGTAGTTTACAGCTTATAGATTAGCTGTATTTTGTGGGGTGTAGTGTTATGGAGTTCCCTTTGTGTCTTTTTATTCAATCAAACATACTGTGTTTGAAAACAAAAATGTATTGCAATTAAAAAGCTGTTTTAATTATAAGAAATGACCTCTGTTCTGCTGTCACTGTTTGCTTGAGTGTTGGTTGAAAAGTTTTGAATTCAAGTAAACCTGCGTCTCATTGGGCGGTATCTAAGCACCAGAAAGAAAGACCTGTTTCTATTTTTTTGCATGTTTGGCACAAAAATTTGCCCACACCCACTGCCTGGTCCTACCATGAGATACGTATTGTAATGCCCTATTAACAAAATATAAATTTTGATCATTATTTACAGTAACAATTTTATGGACCATTTATGCAACTTAACACGAATAAGCCAAGTAATTTGCAGTCTTTCAAGAGAGCATTAAATATTACCGTGGTCGAATCCAAAGTTTTATTATATTTCACTCTACCAACCTGTTTTATGAACTCTTGAACTCTAATCAGCTGCTCTATTGCAATTTCTGCCCAGTCGGTGCAGACTTTCTCAGCAATGTCCTTTTGATCCTAATATAGATTTGCCCACATTATCAAATGTTTTTTCTAGAAAACAAAACATTTCTGACCTAAATGTAAATTATTTTTGTCAAAATTCATCATGTCATATTATCGCACCTGCTAACAGGTGCATTTAGTTAACATTAGCACCAATCTACAGTACATGACACAGCTCAAAACTCACTTTAAAACACCTAAGAGTCTTTGTACAAAATGACTGTGATGCAAAGTGAATTTGTAATAAAATACGCAGAAATACACCACTAAAAAGCCTCACCTTTAGCATTTCAAATATAATTCTTTATTCTCATAAAAATGCAAGTAATGCAAGTAATGTGAGTGACAGATGAGTAGCGAATCGAACAGAGGCAGAGGGCATCAGATCTCATAATTTAGTTCTTTCTAAAGAAATTAGGAATAAACATGCGAATCCAATCCATCAATATATTTTTCCCCTAAATGTGCACACTTTTGGACTAAAAGCCCTAATAGACCTTGTTTAGTGCAGTCACAATGAAAACGGAGCAGACACGGTTAAATATGCATGTCTCGTAATTTCCTTTAAAATATGACAGCAGAACAGAGAGCTAATTTGTGTGTGTGAGTTTTGTTCAAAGAGTTTGTTATCGGTTACTTTATTTTTGCAATTTAAAGTCTTAAGAAGCCTTTTTATTTGCAGTCTTTTATTTTTTAAGTTACAATATAATTATTTTGGCTCTCAAAATCATTTCGTTTAATTGCATAAAAAAAGACACAGAGGTAATTCTATATAGTCTGACCTGGTGCCAAGTCGGCGTGTGCGAAGGCCCATGAAGACAGAGCGGATGAGTTTGCCAAAAGAGGCGGCATTAACCGGATCCAGTTTTTGCTCCTGACAGTGTCTCAGGTAGTGGTTATACAGAGAGCTCCGCGGGAGACTCACTCCCTCAGCCGTCTCATAGTTATCCAGCAACCACTGCAACTATACACACACGAACAACCAATGAATAAAACAGTGAATTTAAGCTTTCTTCAATATATATATATATATACAAAACAACAGCATAAACAAAACCACACATAACAGAACACTTCTGCATACATACTGTAAGTTCATATTCATTTAGAAATTAATTTGACTGGTAAAAAGACCGTCATGGGATCTGCACTTTCACATTTTATTTGCAGAGGGAGAAAGGACATACTGTATGTGGAAATCTGTTGATTTAAGGGATAGTTTATTCACCTTCATGTCATTTCAAACGTATCTGACTTTCTTCTGAGGAAAACAAAGACATTTTGAATAATGTACTGGCCATTTATTATCCAGTGACTTGAACTTCAGAATCCGATTAGTCTTAATTGTGAATTAATCTAGGGGGGGTTTGTGCATGGGATTATCGGATTCCCTGAAAAGGTTTAAAGGGACTAAAACAATGATTTGTGAATGTGCCAAAGAGAGCTAGACATCAAGATATTCCGTAAATACCTTCATTTTTCAGTTCCTCACACAAAGCTATTGTATTGAACATTCTTCAAAAATGTTCCTTTTGTTTTCTACAGTGGAAATTAAGTCACACAAGCACAAACAGTGTTATTTTAGTTTATTTATAAACTTGTATCATATTTATTAATATATTGAGTTAGCTTTTATTTTATTTTCATTTTGGTTTGTTTTAGTATTTTTATGTGCTTTTGTCATTTTTACATTTAACTTTAATTTATTTTTTCATTATTTACTTATTTTATATTAATTAATTGCTTGCCAAGGCTACATTAAACCATTTTTAATAGTTTTAGTTAACAACAAAAACATCAGGAAAGGTGTGTAAATGACTACATTTTTCTTAATAAATTAAAATAAAAGTTAGTTCAAAGAATTAGCAAATTAGCCAAATATTTCATTAACATGGCAGGGGTGAGGGGTGTGTAGAACATTGTGAATGAACGGCATTCAAATTCTTTGGGTGCAGATTCTGTGAAGGCCTCCTGACAACTGAGGAACAGCATGGGAGAGGGAGTTTTAAACACTCAAGTCTACAGACTTTGAGGGAGTAATAATTCCCAATCTGTGAGGAACAAATACGCCCCTCCACTAACACACTGATGTCATAGTTATATCAATCTCATCTCAGGGCTCACCCAAGAAAAGAATATACAAACATTTTTAAATACTCACTGCCAGGAGCAAAGGAGTCAGTTTATAATACAAATAAAATTCTTAAAATATTACATCCTTAAATATCAAAGGGACAATGTGTACTTTATGTATTTTATTATTTAAAATCAATATATTTACGTTTGATATCAACATCAATATATTTGATGTTGATATCTAACAATGCACATACTTCAGAAAATATAACGAATAAAGAAGGCATAAATAATTATTGCAATAGTTCATGTTTTTCACAGTCAGTAATTCATGCTGTAACATTCATTTGTTCGTGGTGTCAAGTTGCTGTTTGTTTGAAATAACAAACCTGTTCACACGAAGGAACACTCGACAAAGTGATATTAGAAGACATCCTGTGATAGCTTTTTGGTACATAATGGGTACCATAGATGCAACGCGCATTTGAAAAAGCAAGGTGCTGGAGAGCACAATTCGTTTGAATGCAAAATACATTTTCACCGCTAGATGGGAGAAATTCCTACACATTGCCCCTTTAAATTTGAGTGCTTGATGTTCAGGGGTAAATCTCAACACATATATATACATATACAATGATCCCTGGGATGTTGAATGAATCAGTGGTGTAATGCAGGGGGTCTGAGGCGCTTTAAACCCAAATTACACAGAGCGAGGGGCTGTTCTGGAAAATGCATGCTCACAGCAGCAGTGAAAAGCAAAGCGAAGAGGCAGGCAGAAGAACTAAGCCTTTTTTTCAGGATTTGTTCCAGTTTCAAGAAAGTTTTTTTTCCCAGTTTGACTTACATGGCTGTTGAGCAGGCTGCTTTTGTGAGTGGCAATCCCTTCTGACTTTTGGAGGTTTTCAATCGCCATTTCAAGCTAAGGAAAAGTAGGAGCATGCAAGACATGAAACGGGGGAGGAGAAGGAAAAAAAAAACGGAGGGGGGGGAGGGACGACAACAGAGAGGGAAAAAGACACACAAAAAAAGAAAAAGGAAATCAGTCTGTTAGCTGCAGCCGGACTTTGAGCATTTCCATTACAGTCTGTCAGTGTTTGCAGCCACATTCATTATGTGTGGACAAAAAGCATGCAAATGTGAGGAACTCAGAGGGT